TACAAGGGTATGAGCTCTCGTGAAAACTTTGTCAATTGGGTTTGTGCCCTAATCAAATACTTTGCACCACACTAGTAGTAGTTTCGATGACAGCGCACTCATTCCAAGGAAAAAAAAAGAACAGCAATCGCCCTTTTACGTTAACACTGTCGCGAAGAGTAGATCCAAACCATGGGGTTAATATAAAGTACGCTAGAGGGCCAACTGGCCCTAGTGTGCTGCGGCAAATTGAAGTAGACAGCAACAAGTCAAAAACTGACTGTGGAAAAACGTGAGTGCATTTTCTTCTTGCGCTCAATTATAAGCGCAAATAGTCCGAATAATGCCTACGGACTAGATACCTTGGAGCCTTTCGCAGTCAGGCAGACGAAATAATTGGTCAGATGATGTTTTTCTTTCAAATAATTGCATTAAAAGCGGTGCTAAAATGGCTTGGTATATACACATATTTATGTGCACTGTCTGACACTGTTAGCGCGAACAGGACGTTGGTGCTTTTCAGCATGTTGGATACACGTGTTAAACGAACGAAGGGCGTCTGTAAAACTAAGAAAGACGTGAGGAGCTACGCAGTAACACTGAATCAGTAACTCCCTGTTCATCAACGATGAAAATTAATTTAAGGCCACTCAACATTACCCGATCTTGAATAAGTGCTGCTTTATTCTTCATGCTGTGTGGGAATATCCTTGTTCTATGTTAAAAAAACATCAACCACACGGTCGAAATCTTTGATAACAAGTGCCCGATAAAGGCTGCCCGGCAGAGAAGAGAATAAAAAGAGACACTTTTCATAGTCCACATATTTTATTATTTTGCGTTTTGAATGTTTTGAACCGTTCGTAAGGATGCAGGAGGGGATCATTTTTATGTAATGACAAGACTGGCATATTCGCAATATATAACCGTCATCGAAATTCTGGCGAGCCTTGATCATCCTCTATAATTCTTTCAATTGTTATTTTGCTTAGAATCTTCGGTTGTTTTTACCCACTTGCTGTGGAACGGAGATTTGGAAATGAAATATAGCGAAGTTAAACATCGTGCACTGAAGAAGAAAAATGCGCTGACTAAAGCAATTGCACTTTTACAATGTTAATAATGGTATATATCATTCGGTATGATAAAAATATCTAAATTGTTTCATGTTATTCTACAGCGAAGAGACAAAATGCTCGCGGAATGCTGAGGAGCACAGCAGAAGTAGACTGGTTGCTGTCTGCTTCAATTTGCACCCCCCCCCCCCCCCCCCCCCCCCCTCCTTTCCGAGGTCGCATAGACACTAGCGCCGGTGGAACCTCTTGCGTACATCATAATAACTCTTTGATCCAAACAAAGAAAACTTGTTCAGGTACAAAGTACTTTTAGAATATATTTCTAAACATCTGAGGTTCTGCGTACCATTTGTTTTCTCATTATTTTGAAAAATTGGAAAAAGAGCAAGATTAAGCTCAAGATGTCTTGGAATTGGATGCCTAACCAAAATAAACTGAAAGAAACATTGAATGTATGGTAAAATTTTTCTGGAAAGACGTGCTAGAAATTAAAAAAAAAAAAAAAACTAAACTCCGAGAAAATAAAATCCTACGATGGCCGCTCCGAAAGTAATGGTTCTATTTCCTTGGAAACTACATCATATAGAAACAACGTGACAAGATTTCTTTGGAGTGTACATTGACAGCTGCCACAACCTATATTCTTATTTGGCGATACATTTCTGTGATTGTCTATATATTTTTGCCATTGGCTATATATTTTTGCCAGCTATATGAACAATATGCTTTATGCTACGCAGGTAGGAAACTGTACGGAGAGAGATGACCACGGCTTCACAGCCCGCATGACGACATCGATGCTAGGAATATTTTCTCCATGCAGTATATCTTCCATGGCTTCGAAGAAATTACAGCCACGAGGTGCCAAATGCGGTCTGCATGGTTGGTGTGGTAGGACAGTCTTGCTAAGATTGGCAATGTGCTGCGCGGTCTACAAACTGGTGTGAGGCCTTAGGTCATTTTGCTGCAAGAGAGGCGATCCTTTTTTCTCTGGTCTGACTCTGGAAATTCGAGCCTATTGCTTATACGAGGTTGCGATGTAGCTTTTTCTGGTACAATTTCCCTGGTCGTAAGTCGACAATTCGTCTAATTGAGCGGGTTACATGCTCATTGTTTTGCAGTGACAGCTGTCGGTCCTCAACGTGGCTTCTCTTCCACGTCGCTGCCACGAATCATGCAAAGCGCCACCCATGCATCACTGTCCTAATGTCCATTGTTCAATAAACGTAGCCACGTCTATATCAGATGCCATTTTGTCACACCGCTCCTCTGCTGCCACGTGACGCACGGTCACCAAGTGTAATGGCTACTAGCGAAAAGGTTACAGCTCTACGGACTTACCGCCAACAGCCGCGTGTGTAATCGAGACGAACCGGATAGAATAGAAAATTTTACTTTCGGAGGAACCGTCGTAGTTAGGGTGTAGGTGATACAGTTTTATTGCTTGTACATTCTTTTTGTGAACAGGGATATAGGGCATTTTAGTTAGTGATTATTGCAATTTGTTTCAAGGCGTGAATTTAAGTGCGCCGTAGGGCAATGCACTTTTCAGCTATTCAGCATTTACCTAAATGACATAATGAATATGCGCGAATAAGCACGATTGATTATAAATGCCTACGTCTATTTTTGTGTGCTGTGAATATAATGGTACTTATATCAAAGGGTTCCTGATATAGTTAAGTTACTTTGTGAGCTTAGGGCACAAAGTTCTTTATTTGCAATCTATCAAGGCAGAAGCTATTGTCTTGTAGCCTGCCAATACGCGCAATGTTCCAAACTGAACTACAAACCTCGTCGACCTCATCTCAAGCAAAAAGAAAAAAGAAAAAAAAAAGAAAGACGTTTACAACACCCTGTAAAGCCGAATTCGAGCACTGCTCTTGAGGAGGAGAAAGGAAGTGTGCTGAGGGGAGGATATACCCCTCCTCCCTCCTCCTCACTTGCTCTCCGTCCCTCCTACTGCTCCTCTCTCCTCTTCCTCCTCCTCTTCCTCCTCCTCCTCCGCTCATCCGCCATACTCCTCCTCTCATCTCCCTCCCTCCTCCTCCCCTCCCTCCTCTCCTCCTCCCGTCTTCATCTTCTCCAAACTGTACTCCAAACCTGGTCAACCCCATGTCAAGCAAACAAAATTAAGTTGACCTCTGGTAATTCACTGTGCAATCGCAGCGAGAGCTGCTACACGTCACGCCGAAGTGATTGGGCATCGGCGTCTGGTTCACGAACCTTGGGGTGCGTGAACAAAAGTGTTCATAAGGAAATATACAACTGACCATTTTGCTCAGATCGGTTTGTTTATTTTTTGTTCCGGAGATCGTGAAGGCACGTCACTCGGCACGAGTTCTTGGCATTGACAGTGCTACTACGGCATTTTTTTTTATCGGCTATTTGTTTCCCGAAAGCGCGTGCATGGCGCATCTGGTGCTACAAACAACCTAAGTGTAAATTGGGTCGTTAGCGCTGTGGCGTTTCTCTGTGGTAACGTTTCCTCTTCGCACGCAGCGGAGCCAGTTTCGATTCCGGCGGGCTGCGGGCGGTCTTTTTCAAGAATTGGGAAACAACGACGTCGGACGCCCAACACAAACTGAAAAATCAACTACAACTTCAACAGCGGACGTAAAATAGAGTGGTGGAAAGAACCCATTACAGATATCGCTCTTAAACCTCATCCGCGCCTCGCTAAAGATACAAGTTTCAAAACTTTTGCTGTTGGAGAATTAGGTGACGTAGAATACCTATTCAGAACATTTACAAAGTAGTTGGTTATTTGAACCGTTATTACGATCCATTGCCTGCAGGTATCAAGGTGCAAGCTGAACTTTTAGAAGGTTGTTGCTAAACTAAACGTCAAGCTTAGTTTACAGTTTATGTGTGTAAATACGTTATGTTAGAGTCACAATTACATCGCTCGAAATTCAGTCGATCGCATACTTAGTGCTTGTGTGTGCCGAAAATTTCAGTTCAGCGCACATAGAGCAAAAGCTAGCGGTGGAGATATAAAAATCTTGGGCTCAACCTAGCTCCCTGATGCTTTTGAGATATTAGGGTACAGGCATATGTTGTCGTGTAGATGCTACGATATTCACGCAAAAAGGCTGAGATTAGTAAGGTTAGTAGTACAGCAAAGTTCAAATATTTTCTCAAAGGTTTGTCCAGTTTCTTAAGGTGGAAAATTGTGCTGAGTCTTGAACGTTAGGCAAAAAATGTTAATATTAATACGGGATTTTAAAGAAAAAACATTGTGCAGGTGAATATATTTTAAAGAGGATGCTTCTTGGTTATGGGTATCAAGGAGTCAAGGAAACACGGCTACAGGGCGCTACAAGCAGCCTTTCAGTTACGTTCTACTCTGCGAAATTGAATTTTTTGTTTAGAAATCAATGCTTTCTAAGGCAATAAAAAACAAAGGTTCAAGGAGCATAAAAAGCTCCTAAACTAACAGCAGAACCTTCTCTAAATCGACTGACCACGTCGGTCTTTGCGACACTAAAACGCTTCCATTGCTTGTATGAAATCGAATACTTCAAACCGTAGACGACACTTTGTTGAGAATATCTGAATGTAATTAGGTTGGGCTAGGTTATTCAACGCTAGAATAGCTCAGGGTAGGTTCGGTAGCTTAATTTAGCCTAATGTGAATCAGATTACTTCAGGTAACATTTAGTTAGGTTCGCTTAGCTTAAGTCGCGGTAGATTGTGCGGCGGACGGTATTGGATGAGGTTTGAGTAGGCATGTGCGTCGCAGGATAGCTTATGGTAGGTTTGATAGCTCAGTTCTCGTTAAATCAACTTAGCTTAGAACATGCTAGGTTAGGTTAGCGTAGATTGCGCTTAGTCAGGTTTCTTTAGGTGTTAAGAAAGTGGTGGGTTCCGAGAAACATTCGACGCATCAGTCTCCAAGCGTCCGAAACTTCCGGGTGAAACCAAGTGGAAAGGTAAGGCAGCTCACACGACGCCGTCGTGCATCTTGTTGTTGTGCGCGCCCCTGAGCACGACCCTGCCCAGGGTGGCGCTGGCACCCTGCGCGGCGAGCAGGGGCTGCGCCTCGGGCAGAGCCTTGACCGGGGGCTTGGGCGGTACCTTGGGGGGCAGGGTGGCAGCCACCAGCCGGGGGTCCGGGCAGCCTCCCGCCGCCAGGTGGCTGTGGCTCGTGTTGTTGGCCACGAGCATGCCCTGAGGGCCGACCGACGAGGGGCACTGGGCGGCCCCCGGAGCGGCCGACGAGGCCCCCACGGGCGACGGGGGCGGGGCGCGGAGGGCCAGCTGCTGCTTGCTCGGCGCTGCAGGGGCGCCGCCGGACAGGTCCACCTCGGAGGGCTTGCCGACCTGCCGTTCGGGACAAGGGGACTCGTTTATGGCTTCGATGCTCTTTTGCGGTTCATGAGCCATCCTACTTATAGCCGAGACATTTGAAATGTGGTATCGTTACTTTGATCGAAACGGACGCGCATGGGCGGGAAAGTAAGGTATGCGTGCCATGTTCCTCTTCTTATCACACACGTGAGCGGGTCGCAGTGTACACAATGTTTCACGAGAGAAAAAACAAAACAAAAAAAAACGTGGACTGGAGAGCCGATAGATGAACGGAAGCGGCGATGTGCTGAATGTGACCGTGCTCGACCTGCCAAAGAGACGCCGAATGAACAGCGACGTTCTATTATGGCTAGAAAGTCAAGCCCTCAACTAGACAAAAAACGATGTCACATTTCTACGCCGTCTACAGAGACGCATTGCAAGGACAAACCTGCGTTTTTAACGCAGAGGTGCATTCGTACCAAAGCCAAACTCCGATTTCGCGAGCCTTCGTTGTGGGTCAAACATGACCTATACAGGTTTAGTTCAGACCCAACCGACGCTACCAGGTAATGGGAACTATTAAGCAGAGTCGAAAGCGCTAATAAATAGGTTTTTATAATTGGTTCAACGATTATAGGGGTACGTAGAGAAATATGATGAACACCATGCTGGGGTGCGCTTCTTACACTGTCTGAATGCTCACATGAGCTCGTAGCGTCGGCGGCGTCTGAACGTAAGGTGAAACCAAGTATAGCGCAGTCGAGTTTAGGAGAGCTTGGTCAGTTGGCCAGTTGCCAAACTTCTGCGCCGGGAACCTACTGCGCGTGTTCGCACGCGTCTCGTTTTGACGATGTCTCATGAATCATTCCGCCGCATACAATGCTGGCTCGCTGGGCATTCTTGGTAGCCTTGTAAATAAAGTAAAGAAGGAACGACGAAGTGATATTTCCATACGACGAGGCTTCTTCTGCCAGGAACATGAATATTGATCTTGAGCGTGGTCTGAGCTTCTTATCAAATTCAATATCTTAACACGATGGTTTCATCAAAGATCAAAATACACGTGCACGTATATTTGTTTACCTCGTGTACACCCCAGAAAGACTGTTTGGGTGTGTATTTATGATATGTACATTATTGCGAGGTTGGGAGGGGTTGAACTGCATTAAGGCACAAATGTCTTCTGGTGTACTACATGCCAAAAGTGCATAGCCACGGAGAATCCAAAACAAACGACTTTCATCTAACAGCCACCTCTCAACGAGTGCTACATTCGCAGTTATATTTATATGCTCGTGTACTAGTACTGTATATGTGCAATAGAATCATAAAATATTGTAGAAATCATTTTCAGTTATGGCCTCTAGAAATCTTGTAGATTTCGAAGGAGTGGGGTGAAAAAGAACGCACCCGTCGACACGATAGCAGCGGCGGTCCAGAGCCAGCCATGTCAGACCACTTGCTCCGGACTGCCCTAGGGGTTGACGCCACAGTGCAATCGGTGCCTTCACTCGGCGATTGAATTCGCCATCGGCGAGCGACAACAAGCGGAAGGCTACTTGGCTCTTCTGTTCATTGACACCTAGCCAAAACTACCCCTGTCATCTTCACGTGGTTTCTGATAAGCGAGGCATCGAGGCGGCACCTAGCGAGACAAACGGCCGACACGATTTGGGTTTGGCACTCAGCAGCAGCAGCGGCTGCAGGCAGCAAACAGCGTCTGGCCACTCGTCCCTGATTATACTCAAGGTTGGTGTCTTAATTATTAAAGATTATGAAAGTACCTTTTTCCGCTGCTGAAGCAGCAGCTGCTGCTGTTCCTGTCGCTATTGTTAAAGTGCCGTGCACGTGGACTTGCGCTAAGCCGAGTAACCAGGATGATAATACATAGTATGAAACGTATTATAATATTACAAGGGGATATATTGAGGGCGCTTTATAAACAATGAGAAACACAACCTATAAAACCGTTGATAAAACCTGATAGAGAAGTATAGGTTCCGCGACGGGATCGACCAAGGTAAAAAGAAATAAACGAGTAAAAGATTTACAGCACCGCGTCTTCTGGACGTGAAGCAGTAAACAGTATGGTAGCTTGCCATCACCTTCCGGGCGAGTGATTCCTTTTATTGTCCATACCTCTCGCCTTTGCAGTCGGCCCACACCCCCTCAATCGTTTCCTCCTCCTCCTGTTTCGCCATTCTTGGGAGCCTTGTGGGGAGTCTTTTCTTGGTCTCCCTGTTTTTGTTTTTTTCTCGTTAGCCCTTTTTTTTAACCCTTGCTTCGAATATAATCTCCCGGGTAGGGCCGGAGTTATCCAAACGAATCCTGTTTTCTTTGCAGCGTGGCAGATCGCTTGATAAAACAAAGCAAGGGGGAAAAAAACGAGTAAAATTGGAACAAAAGCACGGAACTGAGCCGCTCACACATAAAGCACTACACGCGCACTTAGGAAGCGAGGGCTGCGAGGAGGCAATTGAAGTGTCTGCAACGCCCACTGGTGCAAGCGCGTCCATGAAACAAATAGTGTTAAAGGCAAGAAATCGGAGATGTCCGAGGAAAGCGGGAACGCAGCAAAAGGAAGGAAGTGGGTATGATGCGAAGCTGAGGAGCCAGAACGAAATCGGTAGGTTTGAAAAATGAGGTAATGGCAGTGGGGCGATAAAATGGCCATTAATGTCTGCGTTTGTTCGGACCACCACTTCTCTCACTTCTTGCCTTCCGATGGCTTACTCCTCGTGTTTAGTCTAGATGCCTGAGCATTATTTTTCTTCGTCTTTTTTTACTTGAAGCTGCTCTAAGCTGTATGCCAATTGTCTCCTCATCACGTAGTACTTTCCTTGCGCCTCCGCGCTTATTTTTAGACATCGAACTGATACTGCAGAAGCGTGAACATATAGCGTGTTGCACTGTCCACCGTTTGTGTCTGTTTCCTTTTAAATGTTCTTTTTTCGTGCGAATTCTGGAACGTGTATGGCGTGTGGAAGGCACTAGAGGAGTTAAAAATGCAGTAAATAGACGACCACACAATTGTTACAGCTGATGAAGATTGCGTAAAAATAAGGCTCATAATTTCCCGCACTTCACGTCTTGGGTACTCTCTAAACCTTGCGCGCCACGCCAAGATAAACTACATGCATTTAACTTTAAAATGTAGCCCTATTTCTAGTGTTTTCGTCGCTATCACTTTCAATCATGGGTGTGCGAAGACAGAAACTTTAACTGGAATCGAATTCTAATTAAATAGTGTCGAATAGAGGCCGAAGATTCGAAATCGAATCGAAAAAAAAAATACAGATACAAAATATTTATTGACAATGTTCACAACACAAAACAAAGCCAAATCTTCATACGTGAAAACAAAATCCCTACGTGTGCATTCTCCTACCAAGGACGCGGAAAGAAAAGAGGCTACACGAACTATCAAAGCAGTGAGAAGCGTTAAAGTTAAGCAAGCTAATCATAGATGGGAACATTATTGGTTGGATCGAACAATTTGATCTAACTGTCTAACAGAGCCCAATTCGAACTGCTAATGATTTTTACTCTTCCCCTTGCGCGGTCGGCTCTGGTGTGCCGGAAGGCTTTGTTCTCGGCTCCCTGCTTTTTATTATTTACAGAAATTATTTATCTAACTCTCTCAACTCATTCATTAAATTATTTGCTGATGACCGTTTAGATTTTCGTGTTATATCCTTTACTGCCGATAAATTCAATCTTTCAGTCTGAGCTTAACAAAATTTCTACTTGGTGAAACACGTGGAAAATTCATTTTAATACTAATCAAAGCAAAGCAATGCCCATCTCCCGGCATGCTAACTGTCAAAACTATTCTAGCTATAACATTGTAGGAACTGTGCTGACGTCCTACAAGTACCTAGGTGTCCTACAAGTACCTAGGTGTCCATATCACCGCTAAGCTCTCCTGGCAGACGCGTATCACCTATATTTTAAACAACGCTAATCAAATGCTTGGGTATTTACGTCTAAATGTTTCTGCTAGGATATTGAGGTGGGCCAGTTGGATATGCATGATATAAACTTAATTAGCGCAAAGGTCAGACAAAGGACAACGAACAGAACATGTAGACAGGACAAGCGCTGACTCACAACTGGTGTTTTAATAGAAAAGAAGAGAAGGAAGCAGCATATAAATACATGAAAAAAAGGAAAAAAGACGATTTATAAAAAAGGAGAAAATTAAAAGCTATAAACAAAACGGAAAGAATAGAAAAGAAAGGGAACAGCGTAACTGAACTAATTCGGGGGAATATATCGCAATTAAGGAAAAGACTAAAGCTTAAAGAAAGAAGTGTAAAGGACTAGAAATTCCAGCTGAATTAACCTGAAGTTGGCAATCGAAGGTAAAATAATTTTTTGTCAGTTAATGCCACCGGTGGTGCACTCACACAAGCGTCTTCCTTTTCCTTGATGGTAAAGACCTCGTATATTTCTCGTGAAGTTTTATCTCGGAACCTTCAAAGGATCTTGGTTTTTGTCAGGATCGGTTGGCATTTACTCTCATATACTGCGAGATGCCCCGCTGGAGTTGATTTGAGTGAGGTGGCGTGTTCCCGCAACCTGGTGTTGATGCAGTGGCCTGTCTGACCGACGTATATCTTGCCACATGTGAATAGTATTTCATAAATTACCTGGCTTTGGCAAGGTACATACTTTTGCTTCTTTTTGATGGTGCAACGAACTTGTCGAGCTTGAGGAGTATTTATCTTTGGGCACAGTTTCTTGGGCTTGTTTGGTGCTGAAAATAAAACAAGGATGTTATATCTAGACGCCACTTTTTTCATGTTGTGTGACACCTGGTGAATGTAGGGTATCACTGCAGGGCGCTGCCTTGGGAATTTAGTTTTTTTCTTTTCCTTTTCGAGAGCTGATCATTCTTTCAACTGCCTCAACCAAGGTGGTACTTGGAAGCCAGAAGCCGCAAGCCGTTGTAATTGGTCTTCAAAACTCTGTTCCGCTTGTGTTTCTTGTAACCATCAAGGAAAATGCGACGCTCGTCTGAGTGCCCT